ACATAAGAATAATAATCAGCTTGTCTCACTCTTGGGAATACAATGAATAAGTGTACTGTATTTTTCATAACATGTTGAACTATTCTTTCAGGTATGCCTATAACTGTAATATTGTGCATAAATATTTACACTGATCACAAACAGGTTACGAAACAAATATACGTTTTGACACAGTATGGCTAACTGGGGCAGATGTAAACCCTGAATAATAACATTTGAACAGAGCAAGATTTTAAAATGAGTTTTTTTAAAACCAATTTAACTAACTGCTACTAATGATTCTCAAAATATAAAATCAAAAACTGACCTCTTCACACTTAAGATTTGTTACCACACAGCATGATGCAAATAATAACTTTTAAAAAAAATATCTTTTAAATGATAATTTTGCTGTAATTAAAGATACATTTAGATGGATTCTGCTAAATCTGTCAGGATTATTCGTTCCTTTTCAGCATGTAAAACACAGAAAATGAAATTTCTGGAAAGTGTTGCATGGTCACCGAGAATGAGTCTTTCTATTGAATATGATTCTATATATTACCAGCAGTACTGCATGGTTAACTCTGTTCAACCAGTTTTAAATGGTGTACCTGACTACAGAAACTTTAATGTTAAAACAACCAAACAGTCGGATCTGACATGAGCAACAGCTTTGCTTACAGTCCCCTCATATATTTCATTTTTATAGTTTTGGTTATCTTTTCTTTCAGCGTCAACATTTGACCCACCTGCTCCACTGTAAGAGACAGCGGACAAGGCACATTTCACCTGTTTATCTAAGGAACTTACTTAAGGTAAAGATGAAGGCATGATCAGAAAAGATAGTCCACTGTGTTCCAGAGCTAATCCCTGGTGAGAGTTTGGCCTATGTACTTACTACTTAAGTACAGCTCACCTTTACAGAAGTTATAGTGTAACATTTCATTCTGCTGTCTCAATCAATCAATCAATCAATCAATCAATTTTATTTATAAAGCCCAATATCACAAATCACAATTTGCCTCAGAGGGCTTTACAGCATACGACATCCCTCTGTCCTTAGGACCCTCGCAGCGGATAAGGAAAAACTCTCGAGGTCTAGGACTAGAGGTGCAGTATTTACCAGAGTATATATATATCAAGACTAGTAAGCTCGCAAACTCTTTCTTGACTCTGGGAACAGCAGTTTGTCAAGACAATCTTAACTAAAGGTACACCTACTAGTAATCACTGGAGCTTATAACCACATCCCAAAGACCTCATCAGTAAATGGAGTAGGGTTGGGCAATGTCTAATGCCTTGGCAAGTGTGAAACATCCCAACATTATTATTTTTATTTATTTATTTTTTTTATTGACCTAACATGGAGTTTCCTCAGTTTTCCTGAGGTGGATTGGATGACACGTGACCTACAGTAAGTAGGCAGTTTGATCACATGATAGCAGGTGGTTATTTACGGGGAAGATGGTAATACATCTGTCTTAGTTCAGAGATGGCCTCTGGTGTCAGATAGAAATTTCCTCATTGATTTTTCCCCAGTAGTCCATTGACTCTGACCCTGATTGGGAAGAGGACTGGAGTCAGAATCATCCAATGCCAGAAACATAACCACCTCCCCCTCATATACAACTAAGGCCTGCCAGAGTCAGGATGTTCAGAGTCCACTAAGGGTTTGCACTTCAGGTCGATGCATAGAGTCAGGTGACATTTTATATAGTTATATATTTACCCACCCATACATTATTACTGATACACCTTACATACAAGTCTGAGAAATCTTGAGTTTATGACCTCTGCCCAGTTATGGTACAGTCCCATATTAAAGTCATATGTTAATGCCTTTGTTGGTCATCTGTAATGTGAAAACATCACATTTACACACAGTTCTACTCATAGTTCAGTTAAAGAATACTATATCCTGGTTGGCTACTGGTTGTCACACTGGCAGCAATACTACTAGCATCTGGTTCCAAAGTGGTTTAATTGACTTCCAGCTCAGGAGCTAAGAGCGTGAGAGCAGTGATTAGAAACAGGCCACACTGCCCTCTCTTCCTATCAGCCTTCTCTGCTGCCATCACATCTTTGTATTCAGGTCATTTTTAGACAAACTCTGTTTACAAAAGTTTACAGCCTTCCATGCTGTTATCCTGTGTTGCTCTGTGAACAATGATGCAGCTAAAAAAAAAAAAGAAAAGAAAATGCAGTGATGTGTCTTAATGTGAATGGACTCGGGGTCTTCTTGAGTGATGATTGAATCATCGTCATGAACGCCTCAATTCCACTTACGCATGTGACTGGTGTCCATAGATCCGTAAATATACAGATGATGCCTCTAGTGTCCAGGAGGTGCATTTCTTTATGGATGGATAGAAATCTCATAGAAACTACCTGTAGCCATGGGGGAGAAATTAATTTTGTCCATTTTTCACCATCCACAAGTTTGGAATATTCACCTGAAACATTACCAGGACAAAAACCGGATCAATATTGCATGGCAACAAATAAATGAAGATGTTGGCCTGCCATGTACGTAGCATGATTTGTGAAATATTTCATTAAAAAGACGTATGAAACGGCTGAGCACGTCATAATGACAATCTGACTGTATATAATGTATAATCATATTTTAGCAGAATAACATTACTCAGATTTTTGGTCAGGCGCCTGCTCTACGGGCCATTAACCCAAGGAAGACTGCTGGACCTGACGGCATTCCAGGATGGGTCCTGAAGTAATGCACGGACCAGCTGGCTGAAGTCTTCACCAGGATTTTGAACTGGTCCCTGTCACAGTCTACTGTTCCACCTTGTCTTAAGTCCTCCACCATATTCCCCCTGCCAAAGAAACCCCACATCTCCAGCCTCAATGACTACCGGCCAGTTGCACTCACTCCGGTGGTGATGAAGTGCTTCGAAAAACTGGTCTGAGGTCACATCATGTCACTCCTGCCCAATAGTTTTGACCCCCACCAGTTTGCTTACAGAGCAAAAAGGTCTACAGAGGATGCCGTAGCCACAGCCCTTCATGCTGCACTGTTCCACTTGGAACGGCCGGGGAGGTATGCGTGGCTGCTCTTTGTGGACTATAGCTCCACGTTTAACGCCATTGCCCCGCACAAACTGGTGGACAAACTGGGGTACCTGGGACTTCAACATTCCATCTGCATGTGGATAAGCAGCTTCCTGTCCAGTTGCAGCCAGAGTTAGAATGAGTCACCATACATCTACGGCCCTCAGCCTCAGCACCGGTTCCACACAGGGCTGTGCGCTGAGCCCCTTGCTCTACACCCTCTTCACCAACGACTGCTCCCCCGCCCACCTCAGCAACACCACTGTTTTGGGGCTCATCTCTGGGGGGGATGAGTCCGCCTACAGGCACGAGGTGGAGCAGCTGAGAGTGTGGTGCAGGGAGAATAACCTACTCCTTAACACCTCAAAAACCAAGGAGCTGGTAATAGACTTCAGGAAAAAGAAAACGGACATTCCACCACTACTCATCAGCAGGGACTGTGTGGAGAGGGTGGCTGACTTTCACTTCCTGGGAGTCCACATTGAGGAGGACTTGACCTGGAGCGTGAACACCTCTGAGCTGCTGAAAAAGGCCCAGCAGAGACTGTACTTCCTGAGGGTGCTCAGGAGGAACAACATCACCCAGAGACTGCTAGTGTCCAGCTGCACAGTGGCTCAGAGGAAAGAGCTCCAGAGGATCATAAATACGGCCTTCTCCCCTCTCTGAAAGAACTGCACAGAAAATTATGAAGGACACTTCACACCTTGATCATTCCCTGTTTGAACTGTTGCCATCAGGCGGACGGTATAGACCAATTAAAAAAAGGACAAACAGATTCAGAAACAGCTTCTACCCAACTGCAATAACCACACTTAAAGCAAGAATGCAATAACAGGTTTTTAGTGGAATAATGGACTGTGCAAATGACCGAGAAGAGCATGTATGGTTGTATGTTTGCTTTTTATTTATTTCTAGCTGTCTTCTTTAATGCTGCTTATGGTTTTATATGATATAGTTTTATGAGTTGATGCACTGACAAGGTGGCACTTTAATTTCGTAGTACATGTGACAATGACAAATAAACGATATTCTATTCTATTCTGTATTTACAATGTGTTTAAACTGGATAAACAAGTTCTCTTTAATCATACAAACTCTCTTGACAATCAACAGAGGCAACTGAATTGAAGGAAATGGCCTAGTTAGCAGCCTGTTAGCTAAGCTAGCACACTGTCATATGGTCTCTCTGAAATCCACCACAAAAGTAAATTTTTTTTTAACGTACTCGAGGCAAATTCCAGACCGAAATATTACGGAGGGGAGGAGTTTCACAGGCACATCAGATATCACGAAGATTCCCATTGGAATGAATGGACTTCCATTTGACTCGTCTATGTGTACATATACGTAAGTGGAAATGAGGAGTAAGGAGGGACGCCGTATATACAACCTCTTGTTATCATTAACCCAAGTTCCATAGTTATATTACATGATGACACCTTAACCAACAATTACATGTTCTGATAAAAGACTGTGAAACATTTTCAAAAGCTCCAAAAAGTAGTGGGTGGACCTTGACTGGTGATTATTTTGTCAATCATGCATTATTATTGAGCCAAACATAGTACCACTATAAACAAATATGTGTCCCTGCATAACTGTAGTAGAGTTGAAGCATGAAGTAGCTACACAAAGTAATGGGTGAAGTAATGGACATATCAGGTTATGATGTTTGAATTTCACTTCACATATTCACTACCAAATAAGTGATTTAGGGTAAATGGATTAAACTGGATGTACCTACATTCACATTTTCTAAAATAAGGTCAAATGTCCTGATGAGAGTCTCGGCCAAAATTGCATGCTTACCTCCACAATGTATTGACTGCTAGGGACTCAGTCAGAGTTGTTCTTTTTTATATCAGTCGAAAGAGTCAGAGTCTACTGGGGCCACCCTCACAGTTACAACAAACTAAAGAGAATAAAAATCTACTGACATGCTCACATGATTTTTTTTTTTTATTTAATCATCTTCTGTTTGATCCAGTCCTCAGTGCTGCATATGGCTTTCTCAGTGATCATTAGGTCACTAGTCACTCCCTTTTGGTGACATAAACATTCTTTTTAAAACACACATTAAAACAAATTCTTTGTTATGTAATAAGGGCTGCAATCACGTGATGACGGAAAATGTACAAGTTGATAGTAAAAAAATTGTACATTTGGTACATGATGTTTTTTTTTTATTATAAAAGCAAAAACTATCTTTCATTTTGGCTTGTCATACTGAACTAATAGGTTAATAACTTTATGTTTTGCTTGAAATGATTTTAACCAGGAAAACAAAACAGGGGAATAGAGGGCAGTGACGGTCTAAACTCAGTGGCACACCCCAAAATAAACTAGAAAATATGATTGTCAACTCAAAGCATACCAGACATAGATGGAGACAAACTGCAGTAATAAACCAGTCAATTCACAAGATCAGAGACGTTTTGGCTTTGTGGAAATAACATTCACCTAACTCCATTTAGTTTTTTTTCTCTTCACCTAACAATTTGCTGGAACCACTTTGTGGTGTTCCCTCTTCACTTTCTTTTATGCTGCAGGACCCCAACTGTTTTGATGTAAACCTATGTTTTCAACATCAAACAAAAGCTAATGTCAATCAAAAGCATTTTCAAACAAGTTCAACTGCGAACAACTAAGAAAAGCCACGCTGGATGAATGTACAGTCGGAAAAGTCCTGCAACTTTAAATTCAATTTTTTCCAGTTTCTGTATTTTTTTAGTCATTTGGGAGACTCAAAAACAAATAAATAGCATTGGCTGTGGCAGTGAGTGAAATATATTTAGTCACTGTTGTCTTTGGGATTATCTTCAGTTCGACTGGCGCTTAGGTCAGCCATTTCCCTTTGTGTCTTCTGGGTTGAACTTCCAATCAAGTCCAAAGCTGAATTATCATCTTTGCTGACTTTCTCCTGAGTCTTCTCCTGCACGGCTTCTCCATTAGCCTCCATATCCATCCCATACACAGCCTTCTCCCCATTCAGGAAGTGACTGTGCTCCTCCACCTGGATCTCCTGACCTTCTTCCACCTCTTCCAGCTTGCGCAGGATGATAGGAAGCTTTTCATCTGCATCAGTATTTTCCAGCAAAGCAATATCGCTTTCCTCGTACAGAGGCAACGGAGCGCCCTCCTCCAGCTTCTTCTCGAAGTGCAGACGTTTGGCCCGTCCACTGGCTGAGGCTTTCTCCAGGATCTGCTTCTCAGCTAGGCGGAGCTGGATCGCCATGCGAGAATGAAGCGATAGATCAGGTTTCTCAAGCATAGAGACGTCCTCCTAAAAGAGACCAGGCCAGGAGTTAAAAAAATGGGAGGAAAGAGTGAGGGAAAGATGACAAAAGGTCAGGAGAAGATAAGTAATAGAATTACTGCCTTGCACTTGTATGCCTCTGAGAACCAGTCAAGTTGCAGTTACAGTTTACATCCGTGTCTAATCAGAGTCACATGTAGCCATGACAGTTGAATATGCTTCAAATGTTGCTGCAAAGAAGCTACATCTTCTAAAACATAGATGCTTCACACAAATCTTCAACCAGGCAGCACAGAAGATCTTTACATTTAGCCCTTGTCAACAAAACATAATGCCTGCCTTATTGGCAAAGAGACTTAAAAATGACAAATAAAACTTCACATATTCAAAATAGGTGGCACAGTGGTATAGTGGTTAGCATTAGTGTCTAGTGTCAGCTGGGAAAGGCTCTAGCCCCCCAACGACCCTCAAGAGGATAAATGGTTATGGAAAATGAATGAATATTCAATATATTTGTAAGGTCAAGTTGGTTTGAACCATAATGAACACTTGCCACTTTGTCCATGTCCACTATTTACACAACATAACCTTCAGCCGACTGACCTGTGAGGTGGTCTTGTAGGTCTTGAGCAGCAGAGCAGCTCGGGTCTCAAGGAAAGTCCACAACTTAATCTCATTCTCCCAGCTGACAGGAAACTCGCTGTTGCCCAGGGTAAAGATCTTATTAATGGCCCGATCTCCGAGCAGATAGTCCTTTAGTTCCTCTGTAAGCAAACTTTATGTTAGCAGTCTTTTCATTCATGGTTTCTTATTCAGTGGTGGAGTATCATGCTGCTGCCAGTGTTGGTGTTGTCTCTAATTAGAGCTGACTGCATTTTGGAAAATGCAAAAAAGGACTAAATTACACAGCACAAATTAAAGGAGCAGATGGCATCACGTCATTGGAGTTGTACCTTGTATAATTCCATGTGACATATATTTGATTGATTGATTGATTGACTAATTTCTTCAAAAGAAACCAAAACACAATAGCCAGCCATTAGAGAAAAGTACTGAAGGTGACATGGTTTATTAACAGTAATGGGTTTGTAAGATCTGAAACTACAGGAAGAAATAAACAAAACAGATAAAACATTTAGCTGTCAGAGTGGAGGTCTTCTTGGGTCCAAAGTCTTGGACTGATTTGCAAACACACCCATAAATAACAAACCCAAAATTGATTTACAGATAATTTACTTTCCAACAAAATAGACCCGATCTGGAATAGTCTTGAAGACATGACAGTCAGAAACCATTTAAATATCACTGCACCTGCTTCTTCTAGCCTAAAAGAACGAATAAATATGTTGGGATCACTGGACTCCACACGATTTGTTCATTTGTGCAACTCTAAATTGGACATATAAAGCATAAGTTCAGCCCTCTTTAAAATGGCTGCTGTAGCATCATTTGATCTTTGGACAAAGGGTAGCCAAATTAAGTCAGTTTCCCACAATCCTCCATGTATTTCACACCTGGGCCAGTCCACATTCACCACTGATTACTGTTGCATCTGAACTGTGAGATCAACAGATCAATACAAGGGAAAAGCTCTGGTCTTCTCTTTCTTTATACTGGGACTCTCCACAGAGGTGGGCTGTTGAGCAGCTGGAGCTGCTATACCCTTCCCCAACTTTTAAACTCAGAATATGCAAATTAACTTCACAAGCAAAGGATTAACAAAGTCAGGTTAGCACCAAACTGCTAACTGTGCGAGGATGAGGAGTGACCAGTTTCCTCTGATCTACACAGTCAAAATACAGCACAGCAAAGACTGCACTGAAAACACAATTCTTTCAAGCCTTGCTCATCCACCATGGACTACAGCCAGCTAACAAAGCAACTCTTCCCTCCATTTATGGACTGGCAAAGTAACAACTGGGCAAAGTATCAGTACAATTGCCCCTTCCTGAGTCCCGCCCCTTTTCACTTTGTGCTCCAGTTAGTTTTAGCAAGCTTGGAAAACAGCAGAACCTTGATAATCGTTCCCCTTTACTGTTATACTTAGATATGCTCTAAATAAAAATGTAGTGAGCTATAGGCTACCAGTTACAGTTTCAGTACATTGAAGCTATCCCCAAAGAAATGTAACAAGCTAAACTATATGAAAATGGCACAAGTAACTTGCTACTTGCAAAGCTACTTTTATTTTTTGACTCTGTCAAATCAGTGTTATCTCAGTGATCAGAAAAACTGAAGTTGAACTGTTCTAATACTGTTCTCTGTCTCTCTAGCTCTATTCTTGGCCCTTATGTCTATTTCTCTAGTGTCCAATGCAAATACACTAAATATATACAGTCTATGGGCAAGACAACTGACAGACATGTCAAGAAGTGCAATGCAGCCAATCAGAGGCAGAGTAGGGCGGGTCTTGCCAAGAAAGCCAATAGCGACGCAGCAAGCAGAATAAACTGAAGAATTAGTATGTGATGTCACGTGGAAGTGCCTCCCTCGTCTACATGCCTCAGTGTGGTGCTGGCGTCAGTGACATTACTTATCAGTTTTATTATCCTCACTTTTATCCAGACCTCCACAGAAAAAAAAAGTCAGTTAACCTTCAGAGCTTTTCCTTGAAAAAAGAGTTTGTAACATTTGTGGATGCTACCGCGCTACTCTGTAAATTAATCAACTTGCTACTGAGAAGCTGTTTGACTCAAAAAGTAGTGACATAATCATCAAGCTACTAAGAAATATGAGTTAGTCACATAGCTCCTTGTAGTGATGCTACTGCCCAACACTGGTAACTTGCTAAAAAAAGCCACATCAAGAGGAGTTAGTCTAATGCAGGATGTCAACTCATTCACATCCACTTCACCCCAATGTGTCAATCGGTGGAACTAGACAAAAGGCTGAATTTTCAAAATAAAAGCCCACAGGTGGTAATATTAGTTTACTTTAAAATAAAGCTTTTAAAAATGCCGTTATACTGCAGTGTGAAATTCTACTACTCTCCACACTTTTATCTACAGACTTGATTTAAGTTTTAAAGAGGTCACAATGTAATTATACTTCTTCTGTACATTTTTTGATTGACTACCACTTCTGCATATTTTTAGCCTGTTATATTTCTGCATTTTCAGCAATGCTTTTGAATTCATCCCAGCTTTCAGCATTCCCACGCATTTTCTGTAAGAAATGCATTTTCTAGGTAATGATTATTTTTCATAATAATCAATTTGCTGTCTTAATACTTTGAACCCTACCTGGACCCAATTAGAAATAATTGGACCCTGCAGTCAGATGACATGATAAGTTCATATTCATGTCATCTCTATATCTCACAGACTGACAGGGAGGTTCTGGACATATTAAGTCTAGCTTAGCATCGACTGATAGCAGGGTGAAATTGCTGGTTTGGCTGTGTCAATTTTGTAACAGTACATCTTCCATGAATCCATAGTAGTTATTAATTATATTACAGGAAAACCCTTAGTTGCTAGCCTTCAAGATACAAGGACAAGATATTTGAGACGCTCCATGTAGTGCAACATGCATAACAGTTACGGAGTTGTTGGCAGGGTCATTTTATATTTTCAAAGAGATACCGGCTACTAGTTTCCCCCTGCTTCCAGTGTTTTCTCCATTTTGGATCTGGTTTGACAAATTGACTCGACAAATACCAAGAAATGCAGAAATGCAGAAATGCTCCTTTGCTAACAAATCTCTTATCAAATGTTTGATCTCTCTTTGTTCTTTTATATTAGCAAATGGCCAACATTCAGGTTGCAGGCTTCACATTTTTAGTCGGTGGCGACAGTTACTTTTACTGGTTAAAATGTCAAACATCACCAGCAGCAGATTAGGTCAGCTTGAGCTTAACAGAATCAATTCTTTAATGGCTAATATGAGGCATTTAGCTTTTTCATGTGCTCTCTCCAAGCCCACTCAAAGCAGACTTAACTGACTTAGTTTTGGACACACAGAGATTAAACTAATAATCTTCTCAATAAACTGTGAAGAAGACATTGAAATGTGTGCACTAACCCTTTAATTTAGACTTCTTTTGACAAATCCTATTGTGAAAAACAATTGCTAAGACAGTTTGTGTTGACTTTCCAACACTTTGTGCTTATATCCTTTTTATATTCATTTCTGTCATGTGTAAAGGAAGTCACTGACAGTATTTTCTTCCTTCTTTTCCTACTGCTTTTAATCTGAGGACTTAAACATGGCTTTGTTACATGGGAAGGTGAAAGAGCCAAACTGCAGCATCCCAGTTGTGTGAACACACTATTCCATCATGTCACACCTGTTATATCACCTGTGTATATTGATACACAAAAACACATGCAAAACATCCACACACAGTCATTCAAAGGCATTGGAGCCGTTTTAAAAATGAAAATGAACATACAACAAAAAATGTGCATAATATATCAAGCGATGAGTCCTATGACAGAGGAGGATTTGGCATGGCTGGGGGTTTATGACACTAGTGCCATTCTGCATACAATGACTTTTGTAAATCCCCTTTTGGATTACTCCCTCAAAATATCTGGTGGCCTGCCTTGATCAATTGACCAGCTCAGGAATGGACAGGTCTTGCTCTGCTACTCTCTCTTTCTCCTCTACCTCCACCTTTTCTCCATTTCCTCCTCTCCGGCGATGTGTGGAGGTCACTTGACGACGGTCTCCGAGGAAGGTTGGATACTGTGGCATGTTTTGTTTTAGAATGTGCTGCCAGGTTTGTGGTTTCAAGATAGGGGATGCCCTGTTGCTGTGTTTGTTTGTTTGTTTGTGTGTATTGGTGTATGTTTCAGTGTCTTACCCTCTGTCATGCAGAACACTCTGAGAAAGGCTAGGAGCTGAGCTGAAATGGGGGGTTCATTACAGTGCAGAGCAAAGATACAGGACCTGAAAGCACAACATACAGACCAACATATTAGTAATGAATCTATAAACATAACCAAAAATTAAAAGAATGTGTATGGTTTACATGTACACTAATATGTGACAAATTGTGTTAAAAGAGACTCCTCATATAGCAGAATAATCCTGTAATATAGATTCTGACATTCTGAACTGACAGCAGCATAAAACTGCAGACAGATTTTAAAGGAATAGTTCAACATTTTGGGAAATGGGCCAACTTTCTTTTTTTCTGAGATAGATGAGAAGATTTTTTTTTTAAAGATTATTTTTCTGTGCTTTTTGCCTTTAATTGACAGGACAGTGTGTGAAATGGGGAGACAGAGAGAGAATGGGGAATGACACGCAGAAAAGGGTCGTAGGCCAGACTTGAACCCGCAAATGCTGCAGCGAGGCAATGCCTCTGTACGTGGGGCACCAGCACTATCTACTAGACTACCGACGCCCCTATAGATGAGAAGATTGATATGAGTCTCATGTCTGTATTTAGTACAGAGCTGGAGTCAGGGCGTGGTTAGTCTAGCTAAACTTGAAGACTGGACACATAGACATTCTGGTTTGTTTAAAGCTCCAAAATTTGCCCACATGCTACTACTACTTCTTGGTGAACAACAGGTTGGTGCAGTAATGCAGCTTCCCAGAGACCTGCTTTCACACTGACTGTACGTTCACACCAAAAGCTGCCAGAGCTGCAAAGGGGACAAGTCTAATTCATTTTCAATGGACATGTGGCAACTAGAGGCGTTTTGAGATGCAAAAGCGATGAGCTGTGGCAGTTTGGCGAATTGAGCTGCAAATGAAAGTTGAAGCCTGGTTAACTTTATGCAAATTACTGTGACGCGTTTGTGCTGCAAATGACCAGCAACCAATCGGAATGTAGATGTCCATCACTTGTGTGGAACCCAGAGTACATCCTCGGAAACCTTTACTTCCTACCACACATTTGTTCCTACTTCAAAACAAGCATCAAGCTGTCAAACTGATCTATGTTCAACCTGAAGTAGCGCTGGAACCTCTCCCCATCCAGCCACACCTCCCGCACCAGCTGATGATATTTCCTGTGCTGTTCACGGCCCTGGAGGATATCGTGAACCCAAACCAGACGGCGGCTACATCCACACAGGTATCATACGGCAGCACAAATGACAAGAGTGTCTTCTTCCACGTTGAATCGACAACATGTGGACAAGCACACATACTTAAACAATTTCTTTGTGTTGTGGAACGCTTGTTATTAGCGAGAATGTAATTAATTTGCTCTCCTTACCAGTTTAACTAATCGCACAGTAGGCACTCGAACCCAAACCTTTGACAGTGTTTCCTGTGTTTACAGCTTTGGGGGGGAGTAACAAATCAAAATTTTTTGCTCATATTCGGTTCGGGTTCGGCCCACTTGACATGCTGCTGTGTTGTGCTATGGCTTATTCAAGTGCTGGAATTTGTTATTTACGTGACAACGCCTGAACGCAACATAGGCTGTGTGTGTTTAATGTTTAATGTCAGACCTATTTAGACTTTTTATTCGGTTTTCATTGTCCAAACGTCAAAGTTTCTGTACTCAGGCAAATGCACAAAGTCACATTTCTATGCTCCAGCCAGTAACCTGCTTTGCGGCTCCTTTAAATTGAGAAACATAATCGAACGTTCAGAATTTGACGTCATGAGTGACTTGAGCTGCTTTCGCTGCCCCAAATATTTTACCAGCAGCGCTGCTAGAGCGAATTCAGCTATTTTGCAGCTCTGGCAGCTTTTGGTGTGAACGCACAGTGAGGCTGCATTGTTCATTACCTACTTACTAAAACCTGTGCTCATGGAGTGAATTTGGCAATCTAGAGATGCTGCAATGGATGATAATATTAATAATAATAATAATACTAACAATAATAACATTTTATTTATAGAGCACTTTTCATGGTATTCAAAGACACTTTAGATAAGTTCAAATAGTTATAAAACAGATCACACTTAAAATAAATAAACACACAATACTGACAGCAAGTGCTGGGCGGACCTTAGCATGAGATTGACAATCTTCTCTTCTTATAAAAAAAAAAAAAAAAAGGATCTCTGGAATGAGATGAACATGGATTTGGTTTATTTTAGGGATGTACGATAGTATCAGCACATCATCAGTATCAGCCGATGTTGGTCTTAAAATGAATCAGAATTACTTTTTATTTTTTGCACAATAAATGACTATTACATACACTGAAAAGTATACTATTTCATGCCTCCAACTGCTGGTGGGCCATCATGATAAGAGTATGCATGCATAATATGATGTGAATTTCACTACAGAAGAGACCTGATCATTAAAATTAGGTGAGGGAAACGTGGATATATCGGTATCACTATTGGTTATTGGCCAATTAAGTTGTTATATATTGGCATATCGGGTATTGGCAAAATATCATATTCAATATCATGCATCCCTAATTTATTTAGTTAGTTTGTCTTTTACTTTGGGGTACAGGGATCTCTAAAAGAAAGAAGAAAGAACAAATTTGGAGCTTTTACACACAAATCACCTTGACTTTCACAATAGCATGTAAGAATTGACTGAGGACACCACCTCTGCCTGCATGTCAACTGTTTCTATCAAATCAAACTCTTGTCTTTCTCTCATCTCTCTAAACATAAAATTAATGTTGCTGTTTGAAGTATTTCTCGGGATTGTGAAAGTCAGCAGTGTAACAAAAAAGCATATCAAACAATTTTCATCCAGTACTCAGCAAAAATCCATTCCGCATCATACCATTCCACAAACTATAAATTGGTAATTTGGAAGAGGACCATATTTTCCACCTATTCCAGCAAAGTGATCGATGTGGTGATCAGTAGCACAGGCTCAACATTATTACACTGCACAAATACATTAGAGACACCACCCCACACCTATTAAATTATCCCTATGACCACTGCTCCATCAACAGAGCATCCAGCTCAGGAGAGCAAACTGTCTGTGGAAATTCTCTTCTCTAAATGTGCTGTGGGTCTATGGAGACTTGGGAAAAAGAGCTAATTACAAATTTGCAAATTAATAGTCAAATGTGCTCACTTTATTCCACTTATCAGACAGGAATGAAGTAGAGGCAAAAGGAGTGATTTCCACGTCTGATGATCGCAGCCGCTCAATGTCTCACCAAGACCCGACACTGAATCTGTTGCAGTTTCCTCTGAAAGTGATCTACGAACATATCTGTCAGTTTAATAGAGCACTGCCACAACAACAGGAATTGTTTCATTTAATTTCCACTGTTGAGATTTAGACTGTCATCAATAAGAGATTAAAAGGCGTCTGATTAAAAATGCCGAGCAGAGGATGCTGCATACAATTAAGGGGCTAATGATAAAATGATTAAGCTTCTTGGTGATAAAAGTGTTGGGGTGGATGGTAAATTGACACTTGGTGGGGAGGGGGAGGAAAAAAAAACTTGCTGCAACATTTATATTATGTATTTCAATTATGCCAGATGGGGCCTAATTGGTTGAAATATCTCCTGTTGAAAGACAAAGGTGTACTGCGGCTATATGAAAGGTGTACGGAGTTAGTAATGAGCCTGAAGCTCTCCTTGACCCATATTAAAAGCCTTAGAGTAAAACCCTTCAAGCAGAGACTGCACATTCAGTCATTTATGAGAGCAGACACTGTGTTTGTAGGTATGTAGAAAGAAAAGAGGAGGAATGTTTGCCCTTGACACCCTTGTGAGAAAAAGATCAGTTGGACATACGCTGGGATGCCGGCTCGTGCCAGCACTTCGGCCTTCATGGCATAGAGGCGTTCGCTCTTACTGACGCCCAGCTTGATCTTCACTCGGTCATGGACGTTGTCTTGAAAGAAGAAGCCGTTGTGGATGACAAACTCAGCATTGGATCTCGTGCCATAGAAGATGTAGATCTACAGGAAGAAAAAATCAGCAGCAGCTACACCACAATCATCACCTATCTCTATGTCAGTTTCTTTTAAGGAGGATCCAAATAATACCATTTCAATGCTTTGAACCATAGACTGCCTTCACTTAGTTTTCAAGCCTTTTATTTACAGGCTTGTGGCACTGTCACTACTTGTGTGAGCATGCTGTATGTTGTTAGTTTCAGAATATATTTGGCAAAATGTTATCATGTAGGTAGCACGATATATGTTGTGAGACATGCTTCATCTTGTTTTTGTTTTTAATGACAGAGAATGCCACTGATCTATCATGTCACTCCTACAGCACTGTCAGACTCAGGATGGACAAATTTAAAAAAGTATCAAAATGGATGTAGCAGAACCAGATAGATTGACTTTTTTATTCCACACATTCTTCCTTGTCCAAGCTGGCACCTACGTTAGCCACAATAAATAAGACTGTCAACAGTTGGTTGAGATTTGGCGTGTTAGGCTAGTGTAACCCGAAGCAACAGATGAGCAGCAGGCTACAGAGGTTTGTTAAACTCACTTCTTTCTAACTCCACACCTCCAGATTTTTTTCAAACTTGTAGTCTTCAGACCCACCCGACGTATCATCACTTGAGGGCATCAATCAGACTTTACACAGCTCCCTCTGGAGACACTTTTTCCCACATATGCAGGACGTGGAAATTTGCGTGTATGTCTGAACGTGTTTTAGTCATGCAACAAATATCTCTATGTGAATGGATGGGGATATCATCTGTGTGCAGCATCAGCTGTAGGTCACATCCTCTTCTTTATAGGGTTTTTAGCAACCTTGGAGGAGTTAACATTGTTGTAACATTTCAAAAACTTAACACATTTTTTGGATGATTCCTTTATTTTTAGATTCAATATCTTTCCATCTGGATTCAGTATTCCTTCACCAGAATGTCACTGAGGGAGCTTTAAAACAACATTTAGATCTTGGAGTTGGGAAATAAAATGATAACACTTTATTCTGAGGGGCCCATGATTTCTTAGAAAGTCTTTTGGAAAGATCTCTAAAATCTGATACAAATAAATACAAATACAAGGGAGAATAGAAACAAAGTTCTGAGACAGTTCATAGGCAGTAGTTTATTGTCAGAGGGATTTCTTGGAAAGAAATGTCCCGTTAAAGGAAAAGTTGTTGAAACTGTGAAAAACCTGTTTCTTTTCAATAAAAATGTGCTAAGCTACATATCACGAATACTTATAATTTTAGAGAATTTATTTTGGGGAGCAGGGACTTTGAGCCATGGCCTAAATCTGGCTTTGGCCATGATTCCAGGGATAATGGACAATCTTGATGGTACACTGTAAACCTCATGTCAGACTAGAATTCAAACAAATTCAGTATCTGACCAAATGTTTCCCCTTCTTTTCCTGAGATATGATGTTGAATAATGGCCAGAAAAGTGTTTTATGCTGAACATTATGATGTCACAGTGAAGTTGACCTTTGACCTTTTGGATATAAAATATCATCACTTCATTATTTTATTCTATTTCTGTGAAATTTTATTGTAAGCGGCATAAGAACTCACGAGTTACGGCCAAAAATATGTTTTGTAAGGTCATATTGACATTGACCTTTGACTATCAAATTCTAATCAGTTTATTCTTAAATTCAAGTGGACATTTGTGTCAAATTTGAGGAAATTCCCTCCAGGCCTTCTTGAGATATTGCATTCACAAGTGAGAGATGAGGTCACAGCAGAGGTTGCACTAGACTTTTTCGTCACCGGTCATTTTGACCGACAGGGTCGTAAAAATTCGGTCATAATCTATTTTTACCGGTCATTTTAATTTTCGTTTTTAAATGATAATAATGATATTCAAAGACATTTAGTTTTCATTCGTTCGTTTTTAATAAATCCAACAAGCAAGTTATAAAGTGTGCATTAATAAGGAGATGAACGAAAAGATGAACAGACATCCACACACCCACACCGCAGTGCTTCAGTTCAGTATCTGGTCTACACGCGAGCCACGAGCGCTTCTGTCAAGCTGGATAGAGCGGATCGTACCAAACAGGAAGTTGGATACAGAAAAGACGAGAGAATCCGGCCAATTTTCAAAATAAAATAACAACAGCATGCACTGAGGAACGTGAGGGAATACCATGTTTATAATTTAAGATAACACAACAGTGCATAATCGAACACATTTTTCAATACCCTGATCACTTCATTACAATTTTAATTTTGTGTCACTGAGCCTACAGACTACATAAATAAAATGGTCAGAACAATAAGCCCTATTCATTCAGTGTTAATCCAACATGCTCAATACATGGACATCCAATGACAAATTGTCATTAACTTATTACATTATAAAAAACGATTAAAATATGGACTTACCCATGTTTAAAATGACCTGTTGAAGTGAAAAAACGAGTACTGACGGGAACAGACGAGTGGAGTTGATGTTTAACTGGCGCGGAGAGCGCAGGAGAAATGCGCTGCCTGTGTGGACAGTCAAGCGCCTGCGAGTATACTCGCAGGACTTCTGCGGCACTAACGCATCTGGTGTGTCCAGGCGGTTATGTTAACAACGCTACATGAAGCAGATGAATGACTTTTTCTCTGCAGTGCAGGACTGTGCACTCCGCCACCAAGTGGGCAGGGGTGGTAATTGCAACTGGTCAAATGACCGACGGTCTTCAGATTTTCCGGTCTTCAGATTTTCCGGTCATTGTTGTAAAAAACCGGTCAATGACCGAGAATATCCGGTTAACGCGACCCCTGGGTCACAGTGACCTTTGACCACCAAATTCTGGTCACTTCATCTTTAACTCAAAGCGGATGTTTGTGTGGAATTTGGAAAAAAAATCCCTTAAGGTGTTCTTGAGATACTGCGTTCACGACAATGAAATGGATACAAGTTCACACTGACCTTGACCTCTGACCAGCAAAATCTAATCAGTCATCCTTGAGTCCAAGTGGACATTTGTGCTAAATTTGAAGAAATTCCATCAAGGTGTTCTTCCGATATTGCATTTGGGATGTGCAACCCAAAAACAAAATGCCTCTGGCCTCAGCTATCGCTGGCACAGAGGCATGAAATGTGGTCAAGTAAAACAAGGATTTTTTTTTTAATGTTATAGATTTTGTCACTCCTACTTTTTTATATTCCTTATTTTTATGGAGGATGAATATGTTTGAGTTTGTCCCATCTGAGTTCCCATAATGCTTTAGCTGATGTAAACAGGAAGTTGAAATTTGGCTGACTTGTGTGTCTGAACAATGAGTGTGATTTCTGACTCACATGGTTGCTGCAGAGACAGTGTACTGTATGTAAAGGTTTGTGTGTGAGTTAAGCAAAAGAGACAATAAAGATGAAAATATATGAACGGTAGTTTCTTTACCTGTTCGTTCTCTTTGTAGTCCTGCAGTGCCACGCATTCACAGCGATCATCCTCCAGATTGTAGCCAGTGGTAATCTGGAGATCAACAACTTTTACTAATTCAACCTTTACCTGCACTCAGTAAATATATTTTGATGTTTACCAAAACAATAATAATGTAAGTCAGAGTGTGTGAGTGTGAGACAAAAACTTTACCAGTCCATTTATGTGGTTACACATGTCCCAGAGGGGGATGAGAGCCAGAGTGATTCGGCTGCCATCCTCAGTAGGGATCTGGTTCTGACGGGTCATCACTGAGGACACTGCCCACCTGGTAGATACAATCAACCAATCACTGCTTGTTACAATGAGGTTTACATATCCCATTGACATCCTGGACAATTGCAGTTCTTGCTTCATAAAGGAGAGGGAAGATTTGACTCTTAGATGTGTATTACCAAACAGAGAGAAGCCTTGCATCAGATGAGGATGGAGAGAGAAGGAAGGAGGATGGAGGGAGGATGAGAAAGAGAGTGGAGGGTGAACAGAGCAGAAAAACAGGAAATGAGGAGGAGGGAAGATGGAGAAGGACAGGGAGGGAGGAGATACTGAAGGAATAATTCATCACCGGCCCACTTTCTCTGCTCCTTTAGCATGCAATAATTAAGCTTTGTGGAGAATTCCGGTTTATTACCACTTGGGTGTTATGTTTTGTAGTTTTGGCCATTATCTCCATCAGTTATAGTAACATCGTACTCACTGGTTTAGTGGGTGAAATTTGGCCCATTGCTGACTGGTTGTCAACAAGCCAACAGTTCAGGTAGATTATCCAAAAGAATCACAATTCTGAATCAAATCAGGTGATCAAAAATTTGATAATTGTACATAATTAAGCTTTTAGGGTTCCTCCACACTAAATTGATGGAAAATGGAAATATGCCACAATGTTCACAATAAAAAAAAAAAGTTGTGTACTTCCACAATCTTTTTTCTACTTGCCTGTTCATTCCAACATCAAGGTGGTAATGTCATTTATTTTGTGCAGTGCTCGAGGACAGTGTGCCATTGTCTGATTACAGAATCAAAAATCAATTCTAAAAAAACAATTATTGCCTCGCACAAGTATGCCTCCATGAACCCTGATAGCACAGAAGGTCTATGCAATCAGCACAGTTTCAAGGTTAATGTCACCAATTCAGTATCCGACCAAATGTCTCCCCTTCTGTTCCTGAGATATGACACTGAATAATGGCAAGGAAAGTGTTTTTGCAGAACATTCTGTTGTCATAGTGAAGTTGTCCTTCGACCTTTTGTACATAAAATGTCATCACTGTTAGATTTTATTTTATCCTATTAGACATTTCTGTGAAATTTTGTTGTAAGTGGCGTAAGAAAACATGAGTTATGGCCAAAAACATGTTTTGTAAGGTCACAGGGACCTTGATCTTTGACCTTAAACCGCCAAATTGTAATCAGTTCATTCTTAAGTCCAAGTGGGCATTTGTGTCAAATTTGAAGAAGTTACCACAAGGTGTTCTTGAGATATCACATTCATGAGAACAAGATGGATGCAAGGTTACACTGACCTATGACCACCAAAATCTTATCAATTCACTGCTGCGTCCAAGTGGACATTTGTGTCAAATTTGAGATATTGCATTCACAAATGAGAGACAAAGTCACAGTAACATTTGACCACCAAATTCTGATGAGTTCATTCTTGACTTAAAGTGGATGTTTGTTATTTGAAGAAATTCCTTTAAGGTGCTCTTGAGATATCACATTCATAATAATGAGACGGATGCAAGGTCATAGTGACCTTTGACCACCAGAATCTAAATCAGTTCATCGTTAAGTCCAAGTGAATGTTTGTGTAAAATTTGAAGAAATTCCCTTAAGGTGTTCTTGAGATATTGTGCTCACAAGAATAAGATATATCGTGCTCACAAGAATAAGATATATGAGGTCACAGTGTGACCAAAATGTAATCAGTTCATCGTTGTGTTCAAGTGGACGTTTGTGCAAAATTTGAAAGTATTCCCTCAGGGCATTCTCATAGAGATCTTGAGTTCACAAGAATGGGACGGTGGGACGGACAACCCAAAAACATAATGCCTCCGGCCACGGCTATTGTTGACAGAGTCATACTGAATCATAACATAGGGAATCAAAATCGAACTGTGAGATTCACAAAGATTCTCATTGCTTATTATAACACTTATTTTGAAGTAAAACTACATGCTGGATATGTCAGTGGAAATCCCTCACTGCATAGGAAAAGTGAGTGCACACACTTACATCAAGTACAGTAAGTTCAAGTCCAACCTGAACCAATAAGCCAAATGGAAATTGTGATGTTTACAACAGACAGTTTAGCTAATAATTTCTAATAATTTGTACTATTTACCTTCTGTTTGTCTTCCAAATAAGTTTGACTAACCTCCATTTTTTTATAACCCGTTTGGTCATCTGACTTCTCCTGTTTATGGCACTGTTATTACTAACTATAGGAATGATGGCAGCCAGAATTATTCTCAGGAACAGAAACATGATATAGGAATGACACACATTAACATGTAAAAGATGACATGAGAATCTAAAAACAGGCCCATTCTGCACACACTTATACACACACAAACACACTGACCTGTAGTCATCAAATGTGAAGTTGTCCTTCAAGGGCAATTTGCTGGCGGCGGGATGAGTCTGGGGATGGAGGGAAGAAGGTGGACGAGAGGAAATAGGGAGAGGGAAGGAAAAAACACAAATCAGAATGAGGAATTTTATTATGTAGGTATGCTGGAGGGGGGCTGCCTGACAGGGACGCCTAACAAGAAGGTCTGGGAGTAGGGGGCCACTGCTGTGTGCCATGTATGTGTGTGTGTGGTCTGATAGTGCAGTGAGACACTGGCCCCCTCACATACATCACTGTCAACTTAATTTGTTGTGGCCAGCAGCCGTCATAAATCTGCCTCATCAATTTTGGCTTGAAACAGGATGTGAGTCTGTGTGTGTGTTGGACAGTGTGTGTCTGTTGATAGCAATGGTTTCTCCACTTAAAGCCACAGTCACAGTCACAGTCAGCCCCCTACCAGAGCCATTTGGAAACTGTTCTGAGCTTAAGCAGGAGAGAGAGAAGGGAGAGGAAGAGAGTCCAGTGGAATGCATAATAAGAAGAAGGAGGGGGGGAAATGAAATGGAAGGAGGGGAAAAAGAGTCAGAAGAAGGTAAATACAATCCAATACAAATACAATACAAAAAGAGTCGATAAGGAAGAGAATAAGCTGTTTTTCAGCTGTTGGTACATGAAAAGAAGATGCGATAAAGATGTGATAAAGCTGACATTCTGATTTTACTATACTGATATCCTGTTGGTTATTTGGCTCTCACATGATCATACAGTTGATTACAAATTGTCGGACCTGTTGCTGGTGAGAGTTGGACTCCGCCAGGGCTGCCCTTCGTCACCGGTTCTGTTCATAACTTTCATGGACAGAATTTCTAGGCGCAGCCGAGTGGTGGAGGATGTCAGGTTCGGTGACGGGAGGATCTCGTCCCTGCTTTTTGCGGATGACGTGGTCCTCCTAGCTCCATCGAACAGTGACCTCCAGCTCTTGCTGGGACGGTTCGCAGCCGAGTGTGAAGCGGCTGGGATGAGAATCAGCACCTCCAAGTCTGAGGCCATGGTGCTCAGCCGGAAAAGGGTGGATTGCCCATTCCAGGTCGGGGGGGGGGAGGTCCTGGGTAGTGACCGAAAGAACGAGATCACGAGTACAAGCGGCCAAAATGAGTTTCCTCCGCAAGTTGGCTGGGCTCAGCCTTAGAGATAGGGTGAGGAGCTCGGACATCCGGGAGGGACTCGAAGTAGAGCCGCTGCTCCTCCACATCGAGAGGAGCCAGTTGAGGTGGTTCGGGCATCTGGTAAGGATGCCTTCAAGAAGCCTCCCTTAGGAGGTGTATCGGGCATGTCCAACAGGGAGGAGACCTCAGGGCAGCCCCAGGACACGCTGGAGGGATTACATCGCCCGGCTGGCCTGGGAACGCCTCAGGGTTCCCTCGGAAGAGCTGATGGAAGTGGCTGGGGAGAGGACTGTCTGGGCTTCTTTGCTGAGGCTGCTACCCCTGCGACCCGGACCCAGATAAGCGGAGGACGACGAGTACGAGTACGAGTACGAGTGAAATTTATGACAATAAGCACAAAAGTTTATTTTTAGTTCAAAAGAAACATAAATGATAGATGGCAATATTGGCTGTCATGACTCGTAACAATACTGTATATTGCTGAGCGCAAGCTGAATGAAAACACATTGATACCACTTTTATGTCTGTGTGTAAAGTACGGAATTGGAGTAGGGGCTGCTCAGCCAACACCTCTGAAGCTCACTAACTAACAAATTCTTGATCTGTATCTGATTATTTGTAAAAAGCAACAGCTTGCTAAAAAAGTTCCTAATATGCACTTTATCAAATGAAAATATGTAAATGTTGTGTTTAAACTTTGTTCCACTGCCTACAACTGGCCAGAGATTGTATGACTGGATGACTGGATGGATGACTGGATGGATTGATGGATGGATTGATGGATGGATGCAAAGATTAAAAAAAAGCAAAAGGATAAATAATAATTACCAAAAAATAAGAAAAACAAACAAACAAAAAACTATATACTTAACTTAGTAAAAAAAAAAAAAAGGCATGAAATTGAAATTTACATAAACATAAACTCTGATGACACTGCTACAACAGAACTTGAGTACCTAGTCTGGAATAGAGAAACAGGGTCCCCCTTCAGGAGCCAGACCTAGGAGGGGGGCTGGCTGGCAAGCATCTTGTGACTGGGCTCATAGAAATTACATGGAGCTGCCGCCCTGTGGGATCACCACCCACAGGGACAGACACTGAGGTCAGGTGCAGCAGGCAGGGGCGGGGCCCCAGGTGTGTTGACCCCTAGCATTGCAGACTGGCTCTAGAGATGTGGAATGTCACCTCTCTAGTGGGAAAGGAACCAGAGCTGGAGCTGTAGGTGGAGCAGTGCCAACTAGACATAGTTGGCTCACCTCTACGCACCGCCCGTACTGGAGTTGTCCAGGGTGAGGGACATCAGGCATGTATGGGGATACTCATGAGCCCCCATACTGAGCGCTGCTGTGTTGGAGCTCTCCCCAGGGAACAGGAGGGTCCCTGCCAGTCACTCAAATGTTTTCAGAAACATATTTCAGTGTACTGTTCAGCTGTAAAATGAGAAAGTTGGTCCGGCTGGTGCTCAGTACTTCAATCGACTGTTTTCAACATGGCAGCCGGGTGACAAACTTTCTCATCTTACAGCTAAACCGTACACTTACAACTAAATCTGAAAACATTTAGAGTGAGAAATAAGAAATGTTGTAATCAGGGCAGGAATTTCACGAGGGCCACGAGGGCTATTTGGCCCTGTGCCCTTGAAAAAAATATCTGCCCTAAGGCCACAGTGGCCTTGATGCCCCGCCCGCACTGCCCCAGGTGATTTTGCAGTTTTCTCCTCTTACCTGTCAACATGGCTTGACACCTATGTTGGGAATCAACATATATTTACCTCACACGATGGCACCAAATATGTTGGGAATCAACATATATTTACCTCACACGGTGGCACCAAATATGTTGGGAATCAACATATATTTACCTCACACGGAGGCACCAAAAATGTTGGGGTCAACACACTAGGCTTCACACGGAGGTACCAAATATGTTGGGGTTAAATTGGCTATCGGAAACAATTAATAATTATTATTAATAATTAATAATTATGTTAAATAATGTGACTTAATTAACATTAAATCACCTCGTGGGGCACCATTCCCGTAAAGGGAAAAATGATAGCCAGTTAAAGATAATAAGTCTCATAAAATAGGCTAAACTATTAATTTGGAGTTTGATTAATAATTAAATTAATGACAACAACCAAAATTAACGGTAATGCCTGAAGGATTTTGGAGTTCTTGACTATTCATTCACCCTTGTGCAACATTAAACAGACAGCCGGTATGATTCCAAAGAATTATATTTATTCACAAATAAGTAAAGCAAACCAAAACACACAAATTCTAACTAACTATATACAAGCTTGGTGTGTATATGTATATGTGTGTGTGTGTGTGTGTGTGTGTGTGTGTGAGAGAGAAAGGAGAAAGACAAAGGCGGGTGTATTGATCAAGTAGCCGTTTGGCCTACAAACAAAATGGCTGACAACAGAGAACTACCAAAATGGCAGAATCAAGGCTGCTTCAGTTTCCGGGGGAGGTGTCTGTCTGACCGTGTGGTCAGGACAAAGACAAAGGAAAAGAAGAGGGAACTATGAAATACCTGAATGGAGTAGCTCTGTTGAAAGCCTATTTGTTAATGAGTCTATGTCAATGTGACGTGTGTTGCAAACGGTCTGGATTAGTGCAGAGATTGTTTAGTTGCATGCAAGAATCTGTTTGTGAACAGTATTAGCAAACTAAACACTTGCTGTGGCGAAGCCAACTAATCAATGACCTAACTGCAATCTATCACAACAATAACTCAGTAAACAGCATCAAATCACATACAACAGTCAAACAGTCTTGCTTAGCCTGTAAAGCTGTGATAAGCTATGCCCAGTTGTTACATTACCGATCCTTGAATGGATGGAGGAAAGAGTCACTCAGTGGCGTACTGCTTTGTTAGCCGGCAGAAGAAGGCTGGGAAGGTGGTTCCAGGTGCAGTCTTTGTTGGGTCCTTTGTTCCAAAGATAAAACTCCGAGGAAGCTGGTCGCTCAGGGTTTCGCAGAGGTAGACGCTGGGTGCTAACTCACTTAGTTCCTTGTTGCTGGAAAGCTGGTTGCAAACCTTGTGTTCGCAACTCTACCTTTCTGTTTCAGGTCAGAGAGTCTGTGATCAGTTGTCCTCCCTTTAGTGGTTTGGGCTATGGAGCAGGGGTTTGGGCCTCTGCTGTCCCAGGCCCAGCTGGAAAGAGGGGTGCAGCTGCTACAGCAGCTGGAGCAAGAAGAGAAAGAAAGCTTGGAGGGAGCAGACCTTGTACCGATGCCTGTGACATCACAGAGTCACATGTCACTGTAAAAGGTCTTGTTCAATCAAGTTTTGGGACTTGAGTCTCATTGAGGTGTGAGGTGAGACCTCCTGTGGAGATGGGTGCCACTCTCTTTGGGGCCGTTTATACGACAACAATTTCAGTAAAAACAGAAAAGTCTGTCCTTTGCGTTTTAAAAAACGTATGCGTTTATATGACGACGTTAATGAAATGATCCCCGTTCACACGGAGCCGCAAAATCTACTGGAAAAGCTGTAGTATGCACGCCAGGCCAATGGGTGGCAGTGTAAATTTGCAAAGCAACACCAAGGCATGACGCCATGCACCTGCGCTGAAGCGCCTTACTCTCCAACGCCGTGATTACAAACCAAAACAAAGAAGACACACTAGTGAAAGCATGCACAGATAACTTTGTCTGGATGGACAACAAGGTGGAGTTGCTACAGTAACAGATCTACACTTCACTTCAAATCAACAGGGTGAGCAGCGCAAACAGAGCTTAGCATTGTTGTTGTGACGGTCGGCATGCCTAGTGACTGGAACCGTAATGCGCATGTGCGAAAAGTCTCCGTTTTCAGAGGAACTGCTCATTGCACTTTTACATGACAACGGAGACGCTGCCGTTTCCAAAACGTTGCATTCTGGAACCCGTTTT